ATAGGAATTTGTTCACAGTTTTTTTTTTAAACTATAGTCCGGCCCTCCAATGGTCTGAGGGACAGTGAACTGGCCCCCTGTTTAAAAAGTTTGAGGACCCCTGCATTTAAGCAATAAAACAATTAAAAAAAATAAGTTAACAAGGTATTTGTGTTCATCAGGAATACTGGTCAACAGGCATTTCCAACCACAATGTGAAGAACCCACTTCAGACCTCACTGGAGTTGAGAGAAGTGACTGGATGTGGCCCTGGATGGACCACTGACTCTCCAATGGGACTAGATTTTGTTTATCAATGAAAACTACCTACTATGCTATGTCCGCCCCCTCTTTACTCTCCTTTTCATTTATTCCTTATGAAGTGGAGAGTACCTCACCCTCTTTGGTAATGATAGCTTCTCCTACAATCTATAATTGCATGGGCATGGGCAGGGGCAGGGGCAGGGCCTTCTTTGCCTAAACATTCCCAATGCAACCATGAAGACTTCCAAGGAGCTGATGCTTAATTAATGATCGTATCGGGTCAAATAAAAGCCATGAAACAAGAGGTCTGATGCACTAGGGTTTATATTCTCAAACCTTATTAAAAAACATAAGCAAATCCATATATGTTTTTAAAATTTACAAAACAAAAGACTAAATGTGGTAAGGCAAGCAGGAAGTGACCAGTTTATATATGTCCCACATCTTTTTCATCCATTCACCTATACTTCCATGTCTTGGCTGTGACAGGAAATGCTGGGTACAGCATAAGTAATGTAGTCAAGAACAATGTAGTAATTACATATGGCTCAGATGAGTACTAGACTTCTGGGGATGAGTATATAGTATGTTATATAAATGTCTAATCACTATGTTGTACACCTGAAACTAATATAATATTGTGTGCTAACTGCAACTGAAAATATTTTAAAACAGAAGCAGACACGTTTTACTCTATCTGTCAATAATCTATCTATCTATCATCTATCTATCTATCTATCTATCTATCTATCATCTATCTATCTATCTATCTATCTTCTATCTATCTACTGTTCCCTACTATTTTGGTGCAAAGTTCTTTCATATCTCAAAAGAAATTCCTATTCTAAAGCCATGTTATCCTGTTCTGAATCACAAAAGAGATCAAAGGATTTCCAATTTGTAAATTGAAAACAAAATTCTTACTCCTAACCTAATGAACAGCAATAAATGTGTGATGCATGTCATACATAAACTTATAGGCTTATATTCTGGTTCTAAATAAACATTCTGCCTAAAAGAATACCATTTGAAAACACAAACATAGGAAAGCCACACAAAGATAAGCCAACAAGATATTTTGCACATTAAGAAACTGCTTCACAGGCCTTTCCAACCAAAAAGTTGGAAAGACCCCACCCCGAGTTCACTCAGGTGAAGTTAGAGGCTGGATTTGGCCCTGGAGTGCCCACTGGCCTTGGGAGGAGGGGCAGCCCTGGGTGCAGCTTGGGCTCTGGCTTGGGCTCTCTCATCCTCTTCTTTCAAAGCCTCTTCAAAATGGGGTGCCAAGACTGTGCGGATGTTACTATTGAGCAGGGAGAAAAACTCGAGGACTTTCATCTTGCTGGTCTCAGCGTGGGCTCTAGGACCCCACAGGAACTCATAGCGTGGAGGATCACTGTTGGGCACTGGCTGGTACACCAGGTATTTTTCCTGCACCAAATCTTGGGTGATAAGCTTCCTGGGCTCCCCAAATATTAAGTGACTCTTTCCATCATAGACACTCATCATATTCAGGAATTTCCAGATCTCCTCCTCAGTGGCACTGTTGCCATTCAAGGAGATGACACCCAGGAGAGGCATCAGAATCCCTTTGTTAGGAAATCTGAAGCCGCTGCTCAGACTCTCATCTTCACTGTCGACAAGGGTGTAGGAATTACCATTGGGCTTCACTTCTTTCACTTGCAGGCCGAAGAACCGATCCATGCGCTCAGAGGCTCTCCCGAGGATCTCAGGGAAGTCCTTCCTGAACCACTTGTGGATGATCTTCAGCATGTCTCCCTTTTTAATGGGCTGGTTCTTTTTATGTTGATACAGCAGGTACTGAACCAACAAATTTGCCTTCTGAGTTAGAAGATCTTGGCCAGAACTCTCAGTGGCAGTTGAGGCCTGGGAAGATTTTTTACTTTTCTGAACCTGGCCTTTGGCTTTTACAGCAGATCTTTCACAGGAGGCACCTGCAGTGGCACTGGTGGTGGCTGGGGCACTCGGAGGTGCCTGGAGAGGGCCAGCACCAGCATCCCCTAAAACAGAAGAGGAGGAGCAAATGGCTTCTCCTTCCTCTCCTGCAGCGGCCTGAGCACTCTTATCACCTTGTTTCTCAGCTCTGTTTTGGTGGTGTTTCTTCTGAGCACGGAGCTTGCTCTTATGACCACGAGGAATGATGGCTGTTGTTCAGTTCAGCAGACAGTAGTGTGAGCCAATGGACAGCTGCTTTGAGCACCTGAGGGATGGAGAAAGAGATGATGTGAGCACCTTCAACAGGTAGCTTCCCCTTGGCTTTTTCAAAGCCTGCCGGGTGCTATGTAGGATCCCACAAGGCTCCTGTTCTCTTGGTCAATCTGTTTAAATCCTGAAACACCAATTAGAAGGAATATATTCACCCCTATGTTCACAGCAGCTCTATTTACAATAGGTAAGTTCTGGAAATGACCCAAGTGTCCATTAGTAGATATGTGGATAACAAAGCTCTGGTACATTTCCATAATGGAATGTTACGCAGCTGGAAGAGAGAAGGATGTCTCACCCTTTGGGACAGCATGAAAGGACATGGAGAGTATTATGCCAAGTGAAGTAAGCCAGTCAGAGAAAAACTATCACACGATCTCACTGATATGTGGAATCTAATGAACAAAATAAATTGATGAACAAAATAGACATAGACACATATAAGCATGGGACATTTTGAGGAATCCCAGAGGGAAGGATGCAGGCAGTGAGAGTGGGGAGAGATTAAGTAAAGAACTTATATGGACACAGACAATAGTGAGGTGAAGGCCTTGGGGATGGGTTAGAGCAGGGTGGAGAGGGTCAATGGGGGAAATAAAGAGGGACATCTGTAACACTTTCAACAATAAAGATATATGTATTTTAAAAAGAATACCACAGTGGAATCACAGAACCTTTAGAACAGTGGTTCTCAACCTTATTTTGGCCATGCCCCACCTAAGCATCTCTAAAATCCTGTTCCTCCCCCACACTGTTACATATAATTCTTATTATTCAAAAAGTGACTCCTATTTACATGGAGGAAGCCTAAAAGTCTGTTAACTTGGTCTACACAAGCTTCCAAAGAACATGGCATCCATGAAAGAGAAAAATAAGAGAACAAAAGGACAGGTGAAGTACCAAGGAATATATCACTAAGAAATTGTTAAAAAATAATAATAATATGAAGAGATATGACAAAATAGCAAAGATTCAAAACATATAATTGAGAACTGAAATGCATAAAGATGTCACAATATATATTTAAATGCTGTATATGAGGCCCCTATAACCATAAGAAATGCAAAATCACTGTTAATAACTCATTCTCCAATTTCCCCCCTTAAAATTCAAATTACCCCCATGTGGGGCGTATGGCCTACATTGGGAACTACTGCTTGAGAGTGAGTCTCACGTTACATCCTCCCAGCCTTGCCTTGCCTTTACTCAGGTGACAATAGGCGATTTAAGTGTGGACCCCTTTCTTCTGGGATGTGGAATCCTCTGGGTTCACCTTCAGTGTTATCATGCCAACTCTGGGCAGAGCCTGGGTGCCCTCCCCTCTGCTACTCTGATGTGGACATCTCAATGCTCCCTGGGATTCAGGAGAAAAGGAACTGGAGGGGAGCCTCAGTCCACCTCCCTATCAGGGGACACCCAGAGCTGAGAGTTTAGTGGGGTCCTTTGTGTCCTGAGTTCATTTGGATCCCCAGCTTTCAGTCAAGCTCCTTGTAAGGCTTCACACCACTCCCCATTGGCTGACTTGTGGCGGACCTTCAGATTAAGGATCACACCTTTCTTAGACCTGATGTAAAGAAGTGAGGGGGCCCACCCAGCATGGCTCTGTGGTTGAACATCGACCTATGAACCAGGAGGATGCTGTTCGAATCCCCGTCAGGGCACAGGCCTGGAAAGCGGGCTCAATCCCCAGTGTGGGGCATGCAGGAGGCAGCCAGTCAGTAATTCTCTCATCCTTGATATCTCTCTCTCTCTCCTCTCTCTCTCTCTCTC